ATTCCATTGTCTTCAATTAAAGTGTCTACTATCCGTTGAACATTCCGTCAACCAGTAGATCAGATGTGGTCATGTATAATCACAAACTGAGTCAACTGAATTGTTTGATTTTTCCTTGCAAACTGAGAGAGAATATTTTGGTTTATGAATTTTTGTTCATCTGAAAATCTGACTGAAATCATGGATATTGAATATTGAATGAAAATTTGACTGTGAAGAGAGGCGAATCACGGATGATTTGTTATTGAATAGAAGATGATTGAGTTGTGTGTTCTTCCAATCTGCCATGCTCACTATTGTTCATTGGTGATCTCTGTCCTTCGAATGCACACACAAACACACTTACTTACACAGTCATTCTGTCTCCTGAATAGATCAAGTGTATTTTGACTGTATCTGTATTCTCTAACTATGTATTCATGTCAAAAAGCTAACAGTGTAAAAATGGCAAACTCGTAACAACAATAATACAAATACTACTAATAATAATAATATGAACTCTAGTAGTTTAGAAATCAAACAGTTACATTTCAAATCATTCAGACTTCATAAATTTTGTTCAATGTGTTTTTCAGTAATTCAAACAAAAACCTCCAATACATGAATACGATTTGCTTGAATCATAATCAAACATAGAATATTGAATGTAGTAATATGAACTGAATTCAAATTATGAAACTGCGCATTTCATCTTCAACAACAGAAATATGCTCATCAACTCAACTAGATTCAATTATCAATCGTACACTATACAATAATGAGTAATTCAGAATTGAACTATTTCTTTGAATGCTTTGGTAGTTTAGATCAAAGAACTACTGTAGATAGACACTAGTTTAAATCCAGACAGCAGTCAAAGAGTAATTTCGTTCTAGTAAAGAATACTTCACAGTGACTTGAAAGACTTTGGTTCGATTACTTAGGGTTGGTTGTAAATACTTCTTCTTAAAACTCTCAAAAATGAATGAATCGTTTGTTTCTGTGCTTCTTAATATTCAGCAAGTGTGAAAATCAGCTCATTAAGCAACTTACGAAATGCGAATCCTCCTTAAGAACGTTTTTATAGCCCACTACAAGCCAGAATTATTATTACTATTATTAATATTACTATTATATTTATGGAATCAAATATCGGACATAGAAATTCAAATCTAGTTCTTATCAAGGTGTATTTTCAATTTGTCAGCTTGATTGCATTACGCCTCTGGCAAACCAAACTATTCATTTTCAGTACAAATATCAATGAAATGGTGATCTCCAATTTATACAATGATCGACGATTGTCTATTTGCTTGTTTTAATTAAACTATCAGTGGATTTTAAACCCACTGTAGGCGAAATCAATAAAATTCAAACAATCTGTATGTGAATAATGAATCGAGAAATTGTGTAACAGATGGAAGATCATTCGATTATCGAACACTTTTCTGTTTCTCTTATTCTTTATTCACGCATTCATGTTTGATGGTGGTTGTTTGTGGTGTGAGTGTTGAGTTGTTCTTGTTATTATGATTATGACTATGATTATGACTGTTATTTATGAATATCAGTGTTGACAGTGTTTCTCTCTCCTCCTCCTCCACCTCATCAATATTCCTACTTTGATCATTATCCGAAAAATTCCATTGTCTTTAATTAAAATGTCTACTATCCATTCACCAATCAGTCAACCAGTAGATCAGATGTGGTCACGTAAAAACACAAACTGAGTCAATTAAATTGTTTGCTTTTTACCTACCTGCAAACAGAGAGAATATTTTGGTTTATCAATTTGTGTTTTTCTCAAAATCTGATTGAAATCATGGATATTGAATATTGAATAAAAATGTGACTGTGAAGAGAAGAGAAGCGAATCACGGATGATTTGTCATGGCCACATGGTGTTATTGAATAGAAGATGATTGAGTTGTGTGTTCTTCCTACATGACTTTCTCGATTTTGTTCATTGGTGATCTCTGTCCTTCGAATGTACACACACACACATACACTCACTTGCACAGTCATCATTCTGTCTCATGAATAGATCAAGTGTATTTTGACTGTATCTGTCTGTATTCACTAACTATGTATTCATGTCAAAAAGCAAACAGTGTCACACTTGAAAACTCGTAACAACAATAATACAAATACTATTAAAAATAGTAATAATAATATGAACTCTAGTAGTTTAGATATCAAACAGTTACATTTCAAATGATTTAGACTTCATAAATTTTGTTCATTGTGTTTTTTATTAATTCAAACAAAAACCTCCAATACATGAATACGATTTGCTTGAATCATAATCAAACATAGAATATTGAATGTAGTAATATGAACTGAATTCAAATTAATGAAACTGCGCATTTCATCTTCAACAACAGAAATATGCTCATCAACTCAACTAGATTCAATTATCAATCGTACACTATGCAATAATGAGTAATTCAGAATTGAACTATTTCTTTGAATGCTTTGGTAGTTTAGATCATGGAACTACTGTAGATAGACACTAGTTTAAATCCAGACAGCAGTCAAAGAGTAATTTCGTTCTAGTAAAGAATACTTCACAGTGACTTGAAAGACTTTGGTTCGATTACTTAGGGTTGGTTGTAAATACTTCTTCTTAAAACTCTCAAAAATGAATGAATCGTTTGTTTCTGTGCTTCTTAATATTCAGCAAGTGTGAAAATCAGCTCATTAAGCAACTTACGAAATGCGAATCCTCCTTAAGAACGTTTTTATAGCCCACTACAAGCCAGAATTATTATTACTATTATTAATATTACTATTATATTTATGGAATCAAATATCGGACATAGAAATTCAAATCTAGTTCTTATCAAGGTGTATTTTCAATTTGTCAGCTTGATTGCATTACGCCTCTGGCAAACCAAACTATTCATTTTCAGTACAAATATCAATGAAATGGTGATCTCCAATTTATACAATGATCGACGATTGTCTATTTGCTTGTTTTAATTAAACTATCAGTGGATTTTAAACCCACTGTAGGCGAAATCAATAAAATTCAAACAATCTGTATGTGAATAATGAATCGAGAAATTGTGTAACCAATGGAAGATCATTGGATTATCAAAAACACTTTTCTGTTTCTCTTATTCTTTATTCACGCATTCATGTTTGAGGGTGGTTGTTTTGTTGTGAGTGTTGAGTTGTTCTTGTTATTATGATTATGACTATGATTATTACTGTTATTTATGAATGTCAGTGTTGATAGTGTTTCTCTTTCTCTTACACCTCATCAACATTCCTACTTTGATCATTATCCGAAAAATTCCATTGTCTTCAATTAAAGTGTCTACTATCCGTTGAACATTCCGTCAACCAGTAGATCAGATGTGGTCATGTATAATCACAAACTGAGTCAACTGAATTGTTTGATTTTTCCTTGCAAACTGAGAGAGAATATTTTGGTTTATGAATTTTTGTTCATCTGAAAATCTGACTGAAATCATGGATATTGAATATTGAATGAAAATGTGACTGTGAAGAGAGGCGAATCACGGATGATTTTTGATGGCCACATGATGTTATTGAATAGAAGATGATTGAGTTGTGTGTTCTTCCAATCTGCAATTCTCTCTATTGTTCATTGGTTATCTCTGACCTTCAAATGCACACACAAACACACTCACTTGCACACATGCATTCTGTCTCCTGAACAGATCAAGTGTATTTCGACTTTATCTGTATTCGCCAACTACGTATTCGTGTCAAAAAACAAAGAGTGTCACAATGGCAAACTCGTAACAACAGTAATACAAATACTACTACTAATAATAATATGAACTCTAGTAGTTTAGATATCAAAAAGTTACATTTCAAATCATTCAGACTTCATAAATTTTGTTCAATGTGTTTTTCAGTAATTCAAACAAAAACCTCCAATACATGAATACGATTTGCTTGAATCATAATCAAACATAGAATATTGAATGTAGTAATATGAACTGAATTCAAATTAATGAAACTGCGCATTTCATCTTCAACAACAGAAATATGCTCATCAACTCAACTAGATTCAATTATCAATCGTACACTATACAATAATGAGTAATTCAGAATTGAACTATTTCTTTGAATGCTTTGGTAGTTAAGATCAAAGAACTACTGTAGATAGACACTAGTTTAAATCCAGACAGCAGTCAAAGAGTAATTTCGTTCTAGTAAAGAATACTTCACAGTGACTTGAAAGACTTTGGTTCGATTACTTAGGGTTGGTTGTAAATACTTCTTCTTAAAACTCTCAAAAATGAATGAATCGTTTGTTTCTGTGCTTCTTAATATTCAGCAAGTGTGAAAATCAGCTCATTAAGCAACTTACGAAATGCGAATCCTCCTTAAGAACGTTTTTATAGCCCACTACAAGCCAGAATTATTATTACTATTATTAATATTACTATTATATTTATGGAATCAAATATCGGACATAGAAATTCAAATCTAGTTCTTATCAAGGTGTATTTTCAATTTGTCAGCTTGATTGCATTACGCCTCTGGCAAACCAAACTATTCATTTTCAGTTATTATTTAAATCAATATCTGTTACAAGCTTCCCCATTATACAAAAAATTATTTTGAAAAATCATTCTCTGTTCTGCGTTCTAATTGGTTAATAGTTTACAGGGCACTGATTGGTTGACATAAACTCACGTGTGATCTGTCACGTGTTATTTATATCACTTTCACTAGCCAATGAAATTGTGAAATTTTGTCTGTGAAAGCATTGACTCACATGTTTTCATGTGACTCTGTATTGATGCATGAATCTCAAAACTACTGTGAGGGAAATGTGACGGTTTGTATGATAGGGTGGATGGAGAGGGATCGATAATCGGAAAGTATATAAGAGGACAGTTTCCCAAGAGACATTAGGTCACTGAACTTGCTTTTTGCGTGATTGTATTTCAAATAATTTACTGCTGATAATCAGATGAAAATTTGTCCATGTAATATTTTGTTCTGAATTATCAGGAGAGCAGAAACTACTTATTTTAATGTCTAACAATCATCCACAACCTCTGTCACAATCAAATGAAAATTTCAATCAGTCAGATTGGAATCGATCAGTAAATCAATGGAATAGTCATAAATGTCGTAAACCGCTCATCGATTTGTCGCATACTACATACACACGACTGCAAACACAAAGTTTTGTGAATAAATTTGATAAATCTCTCACGAAACAATTAAACACATGTTCCTCATCATTCTCACACTCACCCTCACCAGCAACATGTGGAATTACCGATCCAGCGAATCTTACAAGACGTAATGAACGAGAAAGAAATCGTGTGAAATTATTAAACATGGCATTCGATCGTCTACGAGCTGTGGTCCCATGTCGTTCGGGTTAGCAATTGAGTAAAATTTCTACTTTGAAAAACGCGATCTGGTATATTGAACATTTAGATAAAGTATTACATGGACAAGAGAATCCATGTTCAAATTCCATTCCCCAATCACCAACCTCGTCATCATCATCATCATTGTGTTCAGGGAATCCATCAATCAGTCACGTGAATCAAATGAAAACATGTACCAGTCATAAGCGAAAACAACACAATGTCATAAGCAAATCAGCTGAATTATTTGAGAACAATCAGAATGAAGCAAGATCAGGGACCTCCTGGTCATCTTTCGAGCAAGTTATGTCACCACACAGGAACATATCTATGCTCGGAAGAGGATCAGTAAATCAGTTGTACCCGGCGCCGATATTTCCAACTAATTGGGATCCACATATCAATACTTTAAATAATAACGAGCAGAAAAATGATGATCTTGATATGAAGGAACGCACATCGGCATCATTCATCCATTCAACTCCACAGAACAGACGAGTTGAGAAGACATTCTGTACCGATTCAAATTCGCCATCATCAACATCAGTATTCTCATTAACTTGTGATGTGTCGAATGATTCCGGTTATCATAATTATCAATCACAATATGAATCATTATTACTGTCGTCTGCACATCCACCTCATTCGATGTTGTCCAAATGAAATAATCCTAATCATAATGCAGGTTGGTGTATGCTGCCTCAACCTCTGAAATAGTCGACAACTAGACACCCAATCATGTTTCTCATTTCCAGTGGTTATTAACTAGTAGGAATAATGATTTCCCTAAATCAAATGTCACTTGAATAACATAATTCTGTTACATGTATTATGTTGGGTTACATAAAACGGTAAGTTCTGATTTGTATGAATAATTTCGTCTGTATTTATGATCAGTTTATTTATTGCTACAAATCAAAAGGTGTTTTGTGATCGTTTGCACTATTTCTTTATCGAAAATCATACTCTTCTTAAGGAGAGCGAGAGGGGGAGAGAGTGAAGAGATTGGAATTTCTTCTTAAGAATTCTATTCATGAATCCTTTTGTTTCACACCTCTCCTATATTGATGATGAGACTGTGGATTGTTGTTTCTATGTTGGTCACGTGTCGACTATATACCGGTTATTTAGATTGATAGAAATGAATTGATAGTCTGGTGTATATCAATATTAATTAAAACAAGTAATTGATAACCTTGTAGAGTTAAGGTGATTGAGTTATGAATGTAAAATTTCCACAGTTTATAAATCACGATTTGAATTCGATTAGATCAGGCGCAAAAATCTAAAATTACGTGCTAAGCTGTGACAATGTAAATTCAATCAAATCGGAAATGATAAATGTTGAACACTGAGGTGAACAATGGATGGGGTTGCGCAATAGTTTTGATTGATTAAAATTAGATATAACCAGCAAAATGTTTCAGAAATTAAGTTTTCCCATGCGAGACTGACAGTCATGTTTTCAATGCCCGCATGAGATCGTCGATGCGCACTGCTGAAGTGTACAATAATAGGACAAAATGACCATCCATTGCTTCCACCTTTCCAATTAAAAGTTAGGGTGTGAAGAGTTGAGCAGATACGTTGATCGAACGTTTTCACAAGTTTGCAGACAGAAACAGAATTCGTCATCATCATTATCATCATCATCATCAAAGAAGGTTGTTCCTCAAAAATTGTAAACATTTATAATGTTTGAGCAAATGACTGAATTAATAAGCCGTAATTACTTAAAGAAAAATAAATTTGAAGCAGAGAGAAGATAATTTGAGCATTCGTATTAATACTATCATTATTGAAAAGTATTAAAAGTTGAGAAAATTACTCAACTCAACAAGACATGTCTGTGTATGATTGTTCATTCATAGCTGATGATGACGACAATTTGATAATGGACTTTGCATCATCGAAATCCATGACACATGAACATTGAACGACCTGAAATATTGATCTACGATAATAATTCAACATTGAACGAAGTGATCAACATTATGTTTGTATGATATTGATGGAGGTGTAATGTGGTTTCTACTGAAGGTGACTTGTTATATACCATATTCTTGATACTGGGCAGTTCGATGTATACGGCAGTTGAAACTGTAACAATCCGCCTTGATAATACACATTTCACACCTTTCTTTAAATGCAGTCATCGATATCTCATTGTTCTCTTCATCCATTATTTCCTATCCCATTTCAACTGGATTCCATTCTCTACTCTCATACACTTCTCACGGAATGATATATTGAAATGTAGATTGAATTGAATTCAGTAAAAAAAAATTGTCATTTACACCATACATCTGTCAACATATTCTCATCGATAATATTGTTCATCATTAATGGATATTACTTAGTTAGTTGAATACACCAATCCATAATGTATAATTCAGGGTGGAGACAGATTAGGGTGGGGAAGAAAAACCAAAGTGAGGGAGGTGTGCAAGAGTAGTTGTAAAGTAATCGGAAATTAATTAAATGTGTATTAGTGTGTGTTTTATGATAAATAAGAGAAATTGCTCAACCTAACATACAGAGGGAACAGTCATTCTGATTGTCTTCTGTACCCCATGCATTCAGTACACTACATCACAATTCACATGATCACACTTACATGTGAAGCACTGAATATAATTATGACGAATAAAGTCAAACAGATACACTCACCACTCACCATCTACTACGCTTTCACACACGTGTACAAATATCAATGAAATGGTGATCTCCAATTCATACAATGATCGACCATAGTCTGTCTATTTGCTTGTTTTAATTACACTATCAATGGATTTCAAACAGCCTGAAGGCGAAATCAATAAAATTCAAACAATCTGTATGTGAATAATGAATCGAGAAATTGTGTAACAGATGGAAGATCATTCGATTATCGAACACTTTTCTGTTTCTCTTATTCTTCATTCACGCATTCATGTTTGATGGTGGTTGATGTGTGTGTTGTGAGTGTTGAGTTTTTCTTGTTCTTTTGATAATGACTATGATTATGACTGTTATTTATGAATATCAGTGTTGACAGTGTTTCTCTCTCCTCCTCCTCCACCTCATCAATATTCCTACTTTGATCATTATCCGAAAAATTCCATTGTCTTTAATTAAAATGTCTACTATCCATTCACCAATCAGTCAACCACTAGATCAGATGTGGTCACGTCATAACACAAACTGAGTCAATTAAATTGTTTGCTTTTTTCCTACCTGCAAACAGAGAGAATATTTTGGTTTATCAATTTGTGTTTTTCTCAAAATCTGATTGAAATCATGGATATTGAATATTGAATGAAAATGTGACTGTGAAGAGAGGCGAATCACGGATGATTTTTGATGGCCACATGGTGTTATTTTATCAATAATCGAGTTGTGTTCTTCCTATCTGAATTTCTCGCTTTTGTTCATTGGTGATCTCTAAAATGCAAACACACACACTCACTTAGTCAGTCATTCTGTTTCATGAATAAATCAAGTGTATTTTGAGTTTGCACTTTTCTAATGTATCATATAACGAGTAATTTGACGCTCACTCAACTCACATGTTTACTCTGTTTCTATGGGTTCGTACATTATTACTATTAAAACAAAAATTATTTATCACTTAATTTTACAGTTAATACGATTCAATCCAGCTGTGATTCATATCCTTCCACTATCAGTCTTATTTGTTAACATCATTCACAAAATTACTCTCTTATATCCGAATTGTACAATGAAAGAGATTTGTCTGATTATCAGAAATATAATTTTCAAACAGATATCTGTCACTTAAGTTTGTATTTGCTTATTTTATTTAGCGAAACGGAAATTAGTTCAGAAAAGAAAATATTCGTCTTTCTTCTAGGGTTGTGGAGAATTTCGAGTTAGAATTGAAATAATGAAACAACCATCGCGCTCACTAGTGACTAGCTCCCGGAAATTAATTCTCGATATTCTGTTGAGAAGCTGTGACCAGTGGAGTTCAACTCTGTCGGATGTGAGGCATTTACTGACTGAAGGCAATGAATGCTGTTCTCGCAGTATGATGATAGGATTCAAGTTATATATTATCACAACTGGATGTCGGTTCAGCGGACTTGAGCTTAAGTTCATGAGTTCCAGTTCTGCTTGTGGAGATCATGGGTGTGCACTACTGATGAGTTCTATGTTAGTCACAGATTATTGATTTTAAAAACTTGTGAAAAATGACTGTATCTACTAGGTAGTTAATGATTCAATAACGATGTGTTCAATGCCAAAGACAAACAGTGTCATACCGGCAAACTCGTAACAATAATAATACAACAAAGTAGTATTAATAATAATATGAACTCTAGTAGTTTAGATATCAAACAGTTACATTTCAAATGATTTAATTTGCAGAAATTTTGTTCATTGTGTGTTATTAATTCAAACAAAAACCTCCAATACATGAATATGATTTGTTTGAATCATAATCAAACATAGAATATTGAATGTAGTAATATGAACTGAATTCAAATTAATCAAACTTCCTATTTCATCTTCAACAACAGAAATATGCTCATTAACTCAACTAGATTCAATTACCAATCGTACACTCAGCAATAGTGAGTCAGTCAGAATTGAACTATTCCTTTCAATGCTTTGGTAGTTTAGACCATAGAACCAATGTAGGTGGACACTAGTTTAAATCCAGACAGCGGTAAAATAATAATTTCGTTTTAGTATTAAAAAGTACTTCAGAAGCGTACATCCACGAATGAGTGACCTGAAAGACTTTGGTTAGATTACTTTGGGTTGGTTGTAAATACTTCTTCTTAAAACTCTCAAAAATGAATGAATGGATCGTTTGCTCCTGTGCTTCTCAATATTCAGCAAGTTTCGAAATGCGAATCCTCATCAATAACGTTTCTATAGTACAGTATAGGACAGAATTATTATTATTATTATTATTACTGTTATATTTATTGAATCATATAACGGACATATAAATTCAAATATAATCCTTGTCAAGGAGTATTTTCAGTTAGTCACTTTAATTGCATTAGGTCTTTGGGAAACAGAACTATTCATTTTCAGTTATTATCTAAATTAATGTCAGTTACAAGCATCTCTATTACACGAAAAAATTCCCGATATTACGACTTTTGTAAAATTATTCTCTGCTTTGCATTCTAATTGGTTAATGGTTTACAGTCCACTCATTGGTTGACATAAACTCACGTGTGATCTGTCACGTGCTATTTTATATCACTTTCAGTAGCCAATCAAATTGTGACATTCTGTCTGTGAAAGCATTGACTCACGTCTTTCCATATGACTCTCTCAATTTGTTGTTGAATACCAAAACTACTGAGAAGGAAATGTGACCGTTTGTATGGTAGGGTGGGTGGAGAGGGATCGATTGTGGAATAGTATATAACAGGACAGTTTGCCAACAGTCATTAGGTCCCTGAACTTGCTTTTCCAGTGATTGTATCTCAAATAATTTACAGCTGATAATCGGGTGAAAATTTGTCCATGTAATATTTTGTTCTGAATAATCAGAAGAGCAGAAAACATTGATTCTAATGTCCATCAATCAACCACAACCTCTGTCACAATCAAGTGAGAATTTCAATCCACCAGATCGGAATCGACCAGTAAATCAATGGAATGGTGAAAAATGTCGTAAACCTCTCATCGATTTATCGAATACCACATACACACGAGTGCAAACACAAAGTTTTATGAATAAATTTGATAAATCTCTCACGAAAAAATTAAAAACATGTACCACATCATCATCCTCACACTCGCCATCACCATCATCACGTGCAAATACCGATCCAGTGAATATAACACGACGTAATGAACGAGAAAGAAATCGTGTGAAATTATTAAACATGGGATTCGATCGTCTACGAGCTGTGGTCCCATGTCGTTCAGGTGAACAATTGAGTAAAATTTCAACTTTGAAAAAGGCGATCTGGTATATTGAACATTTAGATAAAGTATTACATGGACAAGAGAATTCATGTTCAAATTTCATTCAACAATCACTAACACCATCATCATCATCATCATCATCATCATCCTGTTCAAGGAATCCATCAATCAGTCACGTGAATGAAATGAAAACATGTACCAGTCATAAGCGGAAACAACCCATCGGAATGACCAAATCAGCTGAATTATTTGAAAACAATCAGAAGGAAGCGAAATCAGGGACCTCCTGGTCATCTTTCGAGCAATTTATGTCACCACACAAGAACATATCTATGCTCGAAAGAGGATCAGTAAATCAGTTCTACTCGGCACCGATATTTCCGACTTATTGGGATACCAATATCAATACTTTCAGTTATGAGGATAGGAAAGCTGATGATGGTGATGGGAAGGAACACACATCGGCATCATTTGTGCATTCAACTCCACAGAACAGACGAGTTGATAAGAAGAACTTCTGTCCCAATTCAAATTCGCCATCATCATCATCATCATGCTTATTATCGCCTGTAGTGTTGAATGATTCCGGTTATCATAGTTATCAATCACAATATGAATCATTATTAATGTCGTCTGCAACACCAACTCATTCGACATTATCCACATGGAATAATCCTAATCATAATGCAGGTGCGTGTATGCTGCCACCAACTCAAAAATAGTCCTTAACTAAACACTGAGTCATATGTCTCATTTCCAGTGGTTATTAACTAGTAGGAATAATGATTTCCCTAAATCAAATGCCACTTGAATAACACAATTCTATTTATTGAAAATGATTGGATTAAATGAAACGGTAAGTTGTAATTTGTATGAATAATTTCGTCTTTATTTACAGTCAGTTTAGTTATTGCTACAAATCAAAAGGTGTTCTGTGATCATTTGCACTAGTTCTTTTCAGAAAATCACACATCATTCTCTTCCTTAGGAGAGAGAGAGAGACAGAGTGGTGGACAGAGTGCAGAGATTGGAATTTTTTCTTAAGAATTCTATTCATTAATCCTTTTGTTTCACACCTTCTCTCCTATATTGATGATGATTTCATATGACACTGTGGATTGTTGTTTCTATGTTGGTCACGTGTCAACTATATACCGGTTATTTAGATTGATAGAAATGAATCGACAGTCTGATGTTAATAAATATTAATTAAAACAAGTAATTGATAACTTTGTAGAGTTAAGGTGATTGATTTATGAAAGTAGAATTTTTCACGCTTTATAAATCACGAACTGATGTTGATTAGATCAGACACAAACATCTAAAACTATTATTTGATGGAATTTTAACGCAAAGATGTGACAATGAAAATTCCATCCAATCTGAAATAAGACAAGTTGAACACTGTGAGGAACGATGAATGAGGTTGCGCAAAACTGTGGATTGATTGTATTTTGATATTGCTACAAGTAAGTGAATGACACTTGAGCGGCTCGGCGTTTAGGCGTTCCCACGCGACACCAACAGTCTTGTTTTTAATGCCCACATGAGAATATCGTGGATGCGCACTGCTGAAATGTCCAACAAGAGGACAAAATGGCCATCCACTCTGTCCACCATCTCATTTATCAGTCAGGGTATAAAGAGTTGAGCAGATTCGTTGATCGAGTGACAGACAGAAACAGAAATCATCATTAATTCTGTTTCACATAAATTGTAAACATCTTTAATGTTTGAGCAAATGACTGAATGAATGAACCCAAATTACGTAACTCAAAGAAAAGTAAATTTGAAAGTAGGGAGAAGATAATGCGGGCAATGTTATTATTACTATCATTATTGTAAAGTATTCAAAGTTGAGAAAATGTCGCCTTTTGCCGTCACTTAAGTTTCATTGAAACGATCGATCGATCAGTGTTAGACCACCGTTAGAAATCTGCAAGCAACGCATCAGTGTTTCGCACTACCATGCAACTCATCATAAGTGCACATTCATGACCGTTGTATATAGTGATCCAACACAGGCTCTATTGATATTTAATAGTCGAATTCAGCATGCACGATCCATTCTAAGTGAAATTCATTGATTGCATGTACCCAAAGTGAACATCAACTTTGATAAGTATAATATGTTCAGGTGATTAGTCCCAAACATAACGAAAATTCACATAAGTATTCTTATCATTGTGATGTCCGGTTTAAGAAATTCACTTACACATTTTCCATATTCTGTTGTCCGTTTTGATTTTCCCACAGGTATTATAAATGTCATTGAATCCCCGTTCAAATCAGCATCATCGGTTAACATTGAGAATAATTACCGACCATTTGTAGTACAAGTACTCGTTCCAAAAAACACTGTGACAAGATCATTGACGAACGATTCCCTGTAGACTGGAACAATAAAGGAAGCCAATCCAATTTGACTGATCAATGGATTGTTTGTGATTGGTTGTTACTGTCAAATAATCGAATGATTATTTGAGGATTTATATTCAAAAATCAATTTTACTGATGTACACTGATGTACACACATTTTCAGTGTTTGTGTAACGAGTTTATGACTGTTGAGTTTCACAACCAATACAGATTTTATTGATTTATACTGTTTTCTATCAGTTTATTTTTTTGTTAATCTGAAATAAAGTTTCATATTTTCACGGAAAATTCTAGATCTCAAATCATTTCGTTATTGAAAAATAACAAAATTTTTTCAAAATTATTTCAACGTCTCTTTTATTGATAAAAAACATTCTTTAATTATTTTCAATGTTCATTTGTTTAATTCGTTTTACTCTGTTGAATTTTTGTTCTTTTTAATAAATAAAATTAAAAACTTATTTTTCCATGAAAAAAACAACTTCATTCAACAATCACTAGTGTATACCACGTGTGACCGACCGCAGTATGATCTATTGAATTACAGGTTGATGGTGGTGAGGCAGTGTAGTCTAATACTGAACAGTTTTCAAAAGATTTCAAATCGATACATATTCTTCTTTACATGAATCATGGACAAGGTACTTGTTGCCAGTTCGAATCAAGGTAATCTTACGAGAGCATGATCGAGGAATAAATAATCCCAGTATCTTATGAACCTCTTTTCACAAACAATGATCAATTCGGATTTTCAGTATAAGCTAGTGAAGATTGTTGAGTTTCATAGAATCGGCGAATCGATCATTTCGAAATGTACTAACCAGTGACTAGCTTTGTGAGAAAAACCTTGTAGTTCCAGTAAAATGTTATGACTAGTTGACTGACCGCGTAATATTTACAGTCTCATGTAAATGTTTATTATGTGCTGAAGAATAATTAGGTTCAAGTGAGAATTCTTCGAGTTCTAATGGGTAGTTGTGATAAATGGAGTTCAGTTTTGGCAAATGTGAGGTAGTTACTCAACAAACACAATCAATAACCGTCACTCAATATGGTTGACTGAGTGAAGTGAGATAGAGAATCACATTGTTGGATGAAGATTCAATGATCTAGATGTTAGGCGTTCGATCATCAGATCGGAGGTTCGATCCGTACTCTCAGGAGTCGTGGATGCGCACCGATTGATCACTTCCTTACTAGCACGAAACAGCCGTCCATCGCTTCCATGTTTCTCACAATGGTCTAAAATTGATCGATTCATGATTCGAATAAAACGATATGTCACGTTGAAGGAGTATCGATCGATTGAGAAATTTCAGTAAATTTTCAATATTCTTGAATAATACATTCGAATTTAAAGTTTATAAACCGAATAGAAAATAAATGTAAAAATCACAGTGAAAATAATAAATATATATATTACTGAATAAAATAAATACATAACTTCCACAAACCTAATCTAATTGTCTGTTCAATGTTGTCGAATAATTCAATTGAAACTAGATTTTCTTTGATTTGTAAATAGTTAGAATTTCCAATGTTGAATAAGTTGACAATACAACTGATCAATCTATGTGATGTAATACACATCGTTCATTTTTCTAAGTGAATTGTTTGAATGTGGTGTCGTGTCATAAATGTTAGTATAGATTTTGAAATGTGAATCATGGAAATTTACAAATTCAAATCAGTGGCATCTTATCCGTTCAATTAGATTGGTTGAAATCTGAACTGATTTACTCATTGGATGATGTAATGAGCGTGTACAGTATTAAAATATTTCAGTAAAATCAGGTTTCGATTTTTGATTTATTCATGATTTGATTCAGCAACTGTTATGTTTTGAAGTAATTTTACATAGAAGAGAAAGTAGGTTTGTGTTTCAATGTGAACATCAACTCTGTGATACATATAAATTAAAATGACAAGTCGTAAATCGGATGAAACACATATTCTAGATGCCGTTGTCCGTCAGACTCGCTGCATTCTAAATCGACTTGCATCAAAATGGTGATATTGAGGCAATCTGTGTAGGATGCACATAAATGAACAAAGATTGATCAAATTTTCAGTAAAAAATATTAACAACCGGCTAGTCTAAAACCATTTGAAAAATAAATTAACTCTGATACCCATTGTACAAATAAGTAACTGTTTGAATTTAATAACTAGGGAAAGAGGGAGAATAACACGATGAAGTTTGAATTCAACGACAATGAACTTGAATCCCTGAATGAAGATGAACTCTGATAGGTAGGTGTATTAAACTAGAGACGATTGATGAATAGGACGAAACATGCTTATATCAGTGAATTCCGCTACTAGTCATATGTTCTATCAGATATGTAAAAATGTAAAGCTTAACTAATTATTGTATAAAAATTGATGAATCACCGATGTGAAGGTAATTACTTTCTGACATGCACGTATATATATATATATATATATAGATAGATAGATAGATAGATAGATAGATAGAATACCATGTCAAGGTAATAGCTAGACTCCATCTATGATTTTATCATTATTGCTGCGACTACTATTACTCACACTACTACTGCTACTACTACTATTACACTACCACTGCTAATACTACTCCCACTACTGTTGCTACTACTACTACTCACACTACTATTACTACTACTACTACTACTACTACTACTACTACTACTACTACTACTACTACTACTACTACTACTACTACTACTACTACTACTACTACTACTACACGCACTACTGCTATTAATACTCACACCACACTACTACTTATAATATGTATAAATTTATTTCATTTTTGATGGATTATTATGATCTACAATGATAAACTAAGATGATTAGTTGTCGAATCAATGAATCTGTGAAGGCATTTCTAAAGTACATAACTTGGATCAATAATGCTTCAACGAAGAGCCTGACTTGTTCATCGGAAAACGCACTGGATGGCCATTTCGTCGTAGTATGAAACTCATTACAATCACTCAGTCCTGATGTCCGCTTTCGGAACTCGAATTCGAACCCAGGAAACTTGATTTCGCGGGCGAACAATGAACTTATAGACCAATGAAATTAATTCTCCAACAGTGTTATTGTTTATCCTACGTTCAATCCACAGTCTTTCATAAGTTTATCCATTAATATTCAATGCAAAACATCAGAATTTTGTAAAAATTTGCCAAAATTTCTTTGAAAACCCAAACCTGACCAATATATCATATGAAATTATCAATAGTCTAGTGAATTATTCAAGCAAATATTTACAAACTGTTCAATATAATTTTGTATAATCTATGTGCCTAGATTATAATATCGTAATAAGATTATCTGTCTCCCTCTCTCCAATTAT